GGGGGTGAACGAAACATTATGATAACTTAAAATAATCTCTATAAGGAGTGTTTACAATTTATCCGAAACAAGTTTAAATATACGGTACAATGAAAATATATTATATATATCTAATTTAAAGGGGAAAATAATTTTCAAAAATATTAGACAAAACGATACAGCTCACCACTGTGTACTAAAATTGCTGCTATTAACAGGGACCGGACGTTGCTTATTGCTGCGGCTGCTTTGTATGTTCCTTTGGTTACCGTGCCAGTTGTTACCGTCACTTTCGCTACTCAAATGCTTTTACATCTTCGGCTGATAGTGATAATAATGATGTGGGGTAGTGCAATACCAAGCTGTGATGGTAATTGTGGGAATTCTCCTAGCTGTTGGGGAGTCGGCGAGGTCGGAAAGAAGTTGGACTATGTCTTGTCACAATAGCAGGTTCTTAATGTTCATAATTCACTTATCGTAGGGCGGTGATGAGGACATGAGTTTTGTTGCAGTTTCAACAGTTCAACTCCTTGCACCAGTAAAACAATAGGATGGAATTTCACACGCTGATACGATAATCCTGTTAGCACACGGGTAACTCCTAGTTAAATATTTTTGTTGCTGATTTCTTGCTTGCAGTACGTAATAGCTCCTGGCAGGATCGCCAATTGTAGTTAACAATATATAAATTTATTTAAAAAAAAGGTTTAATTTAAAATTCCAAATGAAATTATGTTGTTTACAGCTCAAGAAAAATATTTGAAGTAAGCTAATTTTCTCTTTGATGTTTGAACTACAAAATCACTTAAATATAAAATTTTTTTAAATTACAAAGTTGAAATTAACACAGTACAATAAACGACAGTAACACAAATACAAACCCTACACATACCCACCCTTGAGCTAGAGAAAAAAGAAAAGGTGGACGTGGACCCCTCTCTGCTGAGGTCAATGATAATTTTTTTTTTTGGTGAAAATTGACAGGGGCGGCGCTAGGGGGGCTAAATTTGGAATTTCCAACATTTTCAAAAGCTTATATTTTGAAAGCTATTGAACCGATTCTCTAAATATGGACACAGTTGGAAAGGTAATTAAAGGACCTTTCATTCAATATGTATNTACATCTTCGGCTGATAGTGATAATAATGATGTGGGGTAGTGCAATACCAAGCTGTGATGGTAATTGTGGGAATTCTCCTAGCTGTTGGGGAGTCGGCGAGGTCGGAAAGAAGTTGGACTATGTCTTGTCACAATAGCAGGTTCTTAATGTTCATAATTCACTTATCGTAGGGCGGTGATGAGGACATGA